CAACTCCTGATGCTGCTCTTTCATTGATATCAACACCACTGTATATAAGCGCATAATCATCTAAATCCATTGAGTCTTTAGCTTTCTTTTTTGTTTCTGTTAACATGGCAATATCCACTTCTTTTTCTTTCATTATATTAATTAGGCGTTGCTCTTTTCCTTTCAACGATCTAAGATTACAAGTCATTATTTGTAAATGTTCCAATAAGCCGTTATCATGTCCTTTCCGTTGCCTTGTCGTATATGGGGCGTCCGTTTGTAATTGCTGCGGTCTGTGAAAAGTTTATTTTTTCACCTGATAGGATTTCTACCCCATATGCAGGTTAGTTTGGTGATGGGTATGCCATCTCACTGCCTCCAAACTTGTAGGGCAGTTTTTCGGGTTGCTCGCCCTAGATGCATTGCCTTCCACGGCTTTTGAGTTGCATCTACCCAGGACGTCTTCACCATCTTTTCCACGCTAACGATGTTCATGCATGGTTCTTCTAGCAATTTCTTCTCGAAATCCTCATCCTGGCGTAGAGGTTCTCTTCTGGAGTACTTCTTCGTCTCACCCCTATCCCTTGATCTGTCCGGCAAGGACGCCATAACAGTAGCTACGCTACCGCCGGCATAGCTCTCGGGGTCATGGGGGTACTCAAGCTCCGCCACCAACGACAAGATCCTGTACTCCCTAAGCGGAGCTCACTCGTTGTTTATGAAATTGTAATCTAACAATAGGAACAGCGATACAGCGTGAAGTTCACAAAATAATCTCTCATTGTCAGGCGGTGTTTCTTCTGAAAGATTGTAGTACCTACAACCAGGGCATAGTGGATTAAAATGTTAGATTTCTGGTGTTAATATAAGGAAATGTGAAAAGAGCTTGGAGGCAGTCATTCGAATCTTGAAAAGACGTATTCCTTGTCTGAGTAATGTAAAAACGCGTGGCATTCATTCCCAGTCGAATAAAGTTTATATAGACAATGCAGAAATAATTAATGCACCTGGTAAAATGAAATTTCTGCGCCATATAATTCGTAAAGAACACGATTATTTAGGCACTCATTTATAAAATTATATCACAATCTGCTCAGGGAATGGTGATCTGCGCAAGGGAATTGGGTCAGTGCAGTGGACCGTGGACAGTGCATCGGACTGGGTGATACTGTAGAAGAAGAGAACAGTGTAAATAAATAGTGTGTAAAAGTGAACAGTGTAAATAAATAGTGTGTAAAAGTGAACTGTGTAAATAAATAATCAAGAGAACGGAGTCGTGTTTAAAGAAAAATAATTAAGTGTAATATATCTGTAACTAGACATAGTTTTTAGTGTCTGTAGATTTTAGTGTATAATTGTTCACGAATAAAAGTTTTTGTTTAAATAATACCAGTGAGTTTTAATTCACCATGGGAAACGTTACAATACTAACAGGCTCTAAATCTTCCCGTGTATAAATCCCCGTATATAGTACAATATACTAACATATTACACGTACAACATACGTCACCTTACCTGTTGCACGTGGATATGTGACTATACAGAAATCACCATTCCTGGAAATTCTGTAAAATTTACTACATACTGAATTGATGGCAATTCAATGAAATATCAACATTTTCTTTTCGTAAAACAATTAACAATTATTGCAAAAATCTAATAATGTCTCGACCTCATTATTAATCAATTATTCTATGGCCTTAACCATTATTAAACCGTACGGCTTTGATAGTTTGTCAGCTTACGGAATGCCTTCTCTGTTGATTTAATGCCGCGGTCTTCTCCAAAAAGGGTTGGTCTGGGTTCTCGTGTGGTGTAATTTATAAGCCTATTGTCCGTGTAAACTTTAAGTGTTTCCCGTCCGTTGCTAACTAGTCAGTCCGCTATTCGGAAATCTCTAAATCTGCTTTAATATTGTCGCGTCGCAACTTTCCTTCACTGGGCTTAGGATGCAACCCCTATTTGTAACTGCTATTTTCCTTTCAATTAACACTTTATAATTCTCCACTACGGAATTCTCATGTACACGCGAAGTCAAAATATTTAAGATGCAAAATTCCCACCCTACAACAAATGTCATCCATCGTTTAAAAAATGCAAACGTTTACCCACTTCAACCCAAATAAACAAAACTGCTTAGCCTACCCTATTATGAACTATTCAAACATTCACCCACAATATAAGTTAACAATGGAAAAAATACTATGTCGTAATGATCATTACCATCTGAATGGCCTGGCAGCTTCCGTGAGAATGATAATTTTACTTTTGCTTGACCTAACTTTTCAATGCCTTCTCCACATCAATCCCATATTAATACCACCAGGCCGTGCCGTACCTCGATAATACTATCCGTTTCTAGCATCCAGAGCGGCACGCCTATATGTTTATAAGTCCGTTGCTAAGAGTATGCTGCGCGTGTTTATTTATTTAGTCAAAAAACTATGTGACGTAGGGGGGGGGAGATTATCTGCGCACGTTTTCTTGAGTTCCAGAATTCCTTCCCGTCATTTTAACAATAGGCTAATGGCTGTCGGCGACGCGTGCCTGGGCTACAGGCCCTTAGCAGCGGGGCTTCCAGACGGCGAACTGATGAGCGGCGGTGTGAATCTGCGCCACGGACCGTTGCCCGTCGTTCAGTTCCATACTGCCCAAACTTCAGTTTGTTTATCCAGCGGCTTGTTGGTCGTCCACGCCGGCTTCCCGAGAGCAGATCATTTAGACCGGCGTTGTGGCGGCAATGTGAACATTCTGGCCAGACCATCCTTAGATGTGGGCGACGACGCGATCTGCCCGGGCATGTGACGTCCGCTGCGGCGGTGGCGGCGCGGAAAATGATAGCGGCTGATTTTTCTGATACCCTTGCATGTTCTTGACCAATGCGGCTCTTGACGAAGAGTCAACGCAATGCCGGGAGATACGTGAATATATGCCAAGCCTATGCACCTTCCTGCGCTCAGAGAGCCGGAAGAGGGAAGTTCCCCTACGACCTACGCCTTGAGAGGCAAGCGACCCCAAGGTCGAATTTTATGTTGACACAGAAGCTCCTCTCCTTAACTGTGCGGCTTCCACAACTGAAACTCATATCACTGGGACAGATGCCTTCATTTGCAAAGCATCTCCCGTCTCCATATTGTGCAGGAATTCCATTTTACGAAGGCTTTTTCCTTGTAGAACACGAAAAACCTTTCCGTTTTCGCGTTTGGCAGATTCAGTTATATGCTGTGTAACATACCATTTACCTTCACGGGACGGAGAAATTTTCCGGATAAGGCAAGTTCCGGGCGTTTACAGGTTCCGGTTTAGACAGATTTCACTGTAATTATGGAAATAGGCTATTACAGTGGCGGTCATTAAAATATAGCCATCATGCCATGGCAAAGAAATTGAGAGATTTGCTTTGCAAATAACCTTCATTTATAAATAATAGCATGAACTTTTATTTTGTATACAATATGGAAACAAAATAAACATTTACACGATATTAATGCCCACATTATTGTACAAATAACAAAAACTTTGCAATAAGTATCTAAGAAGTAAAAAAATAGAGCCGTCATATATAACGTCCTGAAAAAATAGCAATAAGGACAAAAAATCCTCCCTTGAATGGGTTAGTACTCACTTTTTCATTTTCAATAAAGGACTTCACTATGTGGAATGTTTTGGGTCGTCTTGCATAAACATCCAGACGAAAGGCATTTTCCTCACGAGCATAAGGAAACATAGTTGACATTAATATTTTTTCGTATATCTTCGCATTCATAATTCCTTTTATATGAAACGACGGACCCATACCATGCCACGAGAAATATTCCCACACCATTACTCTACCACATCCGGCTTTTGAAGTGTACTTGGGATTGTATTCCTGGTTTAGAGGGCGTTTCACGTACATTTCCATCAGAAAAAGCCGGGATTATACCTGGACTCGACCGACCAGAGTACATTATACCGCCAAATCTTTGTTTTCTTGCAAATCGTTTCGCAAAATTTCGTGACACACATGGTTTTCTTATTGCAATGCGTTCATTGAGTTGTACAGCTCGTAATCTCTGTACAGTTAAAGTAGATAACTCAATACCATAAACCTGAGATTTTTTGTTTCAAGGCAGGTACTGACAGCAATGGATCCTTCCGAATTTGTAAGCTGATTTGTTGATCCATTCGTGGGAACATTCTTCGCAGTCTGCCTCGATTTTCAGGAATCTGGAATTTGCTTCGTCTGTTTACATTTGCAAATTGCATATGAGTACTGGCCGCGCTTTCGCGAAACACTCAGTTCTTTTGCATTTTTGTTCATTGAATCACCTGTTCAGTCTCAGTGGTGTGTTTTGCACGATCCATCTAGAAAGTTCAATAAAATACGTAGTGTAAGAAAACCACGTGTACTTCATGCTATCACAAACAATTCCAATAGAATCGATATAAGTCGAAAAAGTACTATTAAAAATGTCTACAATGTCTCTATTATTATGACTGATGAAATTCCTACATTTGAACCTTGATTCTACTCTGCCTAGCTGGAAACTTGGTTCACTGACTGCTGTTAGGTTAGGGTTACACGGGCCGAGATATTCGCGCGGGAAAACTATTATGGTTTATCTTTCTTATAAGAAGGCTCTATTTTATTGACCACCACTAATCGTTCAGTACAGATTTTGACACTCTCGCTGCTGGGGGTTGAGCGGGTACAGGTTAATATAATTATTTGTTGACGAAACTTACCTCAAACATTTTCTTTTTTAATAAATGTTCATTGTAAGAAGTACACAAAACACTTTTAAGCACATTAATATATATGTAGGAGAGAGAGAGGGAGAGAGAAGCGCAGGTGCGCTTTCTCTAAACCCCTCGAAATCATTCGCCAAAAGGAACCGTGTAAATCGGGTTTAATGTAAGTGAATGTTTTTCAGGCTCTTCTATCACCATGATTATTATGAAATATGTACTGTACAGAAACTTCCTAAAATTTGCTTTTGAAAATCCTTTAAAAGAATATAATGGGAATCTTGTTGCAGGAGTTAGGTCAGTGAATAAGAACGGAGAGAAAATAATGTATGATCTTGAAGCGAAAATTAACCAGGCAGTTTTCCCTGGACTTCAAGGAGGACCCCATAACAACACAATTGCTGGAATTGCAACTGCCTTTAAGCAAGCCAGGACTCCAGAATTTAAAGCATATCAGAAACAGGTGAGTACGAATCGTGCAATTAATCCATGTCACACTTACTTGAAATCAGTTTTTGTACTTATAAAATTATTTAAACAGTCATGTCAATGTGGTATTATATAGTATACACCAATTTCGTGACGTTCTGAATTGTTGTGGGCGCGCACACGCCAAAAATAAGGAAGTCACTATATCGCGTTTTAGTTTAACATTATACATAGGTATCTTCCAAATATAATAAACTCTGTTCAGTAGGGTTTAATTTTTAATTTGTTCATGTACGTTGGTCAATAAAAAGATTTTTTACCTTGCCGTCTGGTCTAGAAATCGTGGTGGCGGAGAGTATGGTGTGTTGTGGAGCGATTCTTGGGAATCTTGTGGTTGAAACACAAATAGGTCCCAAATACTTATGAAGTGAGAAATGAAATATGTAAAATCGTAACGTAATTATTTTAATGTATTAAATTGTGTTTCAAACATTTCCTAGCCAAATGTAGGAATTCTATTGATCCTAAGAACTATTAAAATAAGTTTTAATCCTAAAAGAGACTAAATCGTAAATTTCTGAAAAAATAAAATAAATAAGTGAACATTATACAAAGTGGGTTAAAATAATTTAATAATTAATAAAATAAATTATTTATTCCTTTGGAGGTGTTCGGAATTTTGAGTGGTGTGGCCTCTTCAACGCACCATGTGTCTTCACGGACTTTCCTGTTACAACTTTCTAATGTTACTGTGCACAAACTAGTGATGCTACAACAGCCCGTAATTTCTCTTACAATTGGTAACAATTACGTAATGTAATTTGGTAAGACAGCTTTCGAGGCTTAGCGTCTGCCTAATGCAGTAAACGCTGCGTCTACTACTATAACATATACCACTGCTGCTAATAATATAAAGACTGCTGAAGTACCTGAGCAGCTGAGAACCTGTAAAAGCATTGCTCTTCGTTGACGTTTGTCATATTTAGCTTCTCGAAGAGCATGCCAGTTATTGAGGCAGTTACAACTTGTCCTCAACAAACTGCAATAATGGAGCAAAAAACTGGATTCAAGTTCTTCAACTAAAAATCCATTTGCGTGCATTTATATAGATTTCACCACCTCCATAATAATCCTGACTTTTTCTTGGGGGGTCAACAATATCAACCCTTCGGTGCAACTGTCCTTGGCCTGACGTTCAACAAATGCTTAATATAACGAAATTATATTCAAAACTTGAAGAGCCGATATGTATCCTTCTGAACCTCCCCCGCACCCTTACTGGTAGATCATGGGGCACAGCCTGAGCATGACTCTTGCGTCTATACAGGATTATCATCCGTCCTCTCTTAGATTATGTGTATTGTTAATGGGTCAGCGTCTCCGCCGACACTCGGACCAGCACAGACTCCTATCGCACGAGTCGCATTGAAAGTCTCCTGGCCGAGGCTGGTAAAGCATCTCTGAGCCGAAGGAGAGATTTTGTAATGGGCTTGTATGGTGTGAAAATATCAACTAGAAATACTCCTTCGCGCCAAGCATTCCTTCATGACATTGTACGCTTTCAGACCAATTTTACGTCCTCCTCTGGGTATCGCTTTTGTAGAAACTCAATATAAAATTACCCATCCCTGTGAAACCGGATGTCCTGTTCCCCCTTGGAAACTTCTCCAGCCTAAAAAAGACGTGAGATTAGCAAACTTCCCCAAATCCTCATCTCTCCCAGTACATTTTTGTTGGAATTTCAGGAGACGAAATCCATGTATCTGGCTATAACTTCATATACACCAATGGTTCCTCCCAAAACGTTAGTTTAGGGTGCGCCTTCTACTGCCACAGTGCGACGTGGAGTCTTCGAATAGACTCTTCGTGCAGCGCTTGTACTGCAGAAAAATGAGAGTTCTTGGAGGCACGTAAGTTCGCTGACGGGGATCTGCAGTGATTCAAAAAGCTCGTTCGAATAATAATAATAGTAATAATAATAATAATAATAATAATAATATGCATTTATTGATATGGCGAAGCTCGGGCCATCAAGTCCGCGCTTGCGCCTAACCACATGTCTTATATACAGATTAATATGAAAAGGTAATGTAATCTACAAATGGTAAGTAGTTAGTGGAAAGCAAACATTATTTAAAGCAAGTTATAAAAACATAACATTAGAGGTTAAATGTATACAATGTTACGATTATATGTTTGAAATGATTTTAAAATTCATAGACGGAGATTTTGATTGAAACAAATTGAATTAAATACGATAGACAGGTATTCACCCCGAGCGACTGTGATCTATTAATAGAGAAAGACACCACCCCACCCGCCGCCCGATCCTGGAGGAAACCCGCTAGTCGGAGAAAACCCACCAGGTAGGCTGCGTCCTAATTCAGTGGTAACTAAGCTAACATTAAGAAACAGGTTTTTGGGATGGTATCCTCAGCTGCAAATCTCTCTTCTTTTTCTTGTGACCCTATCTCCTTGGTAACTTAGTGTACCCAGCTTGCTGTCCAAAGAGCGTGCACAAAATCTTAAGATCTCCACGTCACTCAGCCGTTGTTATACTTTATTTTGTAAGGACTTCTTCCAGTTTCGCGCAATTTTTTAAGATCCTGTCGGGATTCTTGTTAATCATAATCGTTGCATTGTGCAAGAGCATAGCTTTTAAACTAGTTTTGGAAGAAGCCATAAAACCTTGTCGGTCTTGTTTGTGGTATCGAATGTTGTTTTTTTAACATAAACCCAGGGACCCAGGGATATGCAATATACTAGACACCTATCTGTAAAACGTAAATCTTTTACGATACAGATGAGCAGTTTCTGTTGTCAACAAATTCTTTTCTCTCAACCTTGAGTCTAAAAGTTATTTATTCTTTACTTAGACCTACGTTATTTGTAAATCGTTGAGTTCTGAGATAATAGTTCAGGGCTAAGACTTCTGTCGATTCGAAACTACTCATATTTGTTGTCGCAACACGAAACTGTCCGGAGGATTTTCTAAGCTCTTCTCATTAGTTTGGTACAGGAACTGGACCTTCGGCCCATGAGCATCAGTGCGTGAAGCTGAAGGAACGTTTGGATTCACAATAGAGTTCTTTCTATTATAACCCTTGACTATGCAGCAGCAAAAATAACCATCGTCAGTATTTGGCTCACTCCATGGGCTCCTAATCCTCCTAATCTAAATATTTTCTTTTAACTTCAGTCCTTAAACTGAAATCTACAAGATATAACACTTTGTGGTACTCATGATTTGCTTTGATCAATGACTAGGTCCCAAATTATAAGCAAAGGTCATTTTCTTTGTAGAGTAGAATCGTGCCGGTACCGTGTTCAAATTGCGCGCCCGGAAGAAATAAAAGTCAATTTTTCCCGAAAACGAGAATTTTCACAGCAACGTGGTATGTATGTATACATGGTGCAGCAGTGCAGCAAGGTACTGGTAGTAGCAGCAGTACACTTCTAATGTGGATTTTCCCTATTATTTAACTGCAAATTGCCAAGCAGGGAAGGAAAATAGGGGGCACTGGAATTTGGTAATAATAAAAAGAAAGACAGTGAACAGAATTTAATTACAAAAAAAAACTGGTAAATTAGCTATACACACATAGTTCCATGAAATGACCTTACACTTGACTTGGAAAAGAGTTCACTCACGGGAAAGCTTTTACCACTTTTCTCGGGGGCGGCGCGAGCGAGCATCGCTCGGTCGGAGGAGCGCCGGGTGGCCCGCTCAGCCAGGCGACGCAGCGCGCGTCCACGCAAGTGTGCGTCAACGCCTTCGCCGGCCAGGCTTCGCAGGCGCTCCCTTTGCCATCGACGGAAATGCTATTGTCGTCGCGGTACGAAGAGCGCACATAGCTTTCGCCCTGTTATGCTCCTGCAATACATTCTTCGCTGTCCTGAGTTCGGACACCGGCGCGGGAGAGCCTTCCCGGCGTAGCTACAATGAGGATACTTTTGCAGCTACGTTTAACAATTTAACCAACCGCTCAAAGTCTCAGTACAGAAGATCCTTCCGGGTCCGCGCACGAGTATTTACGGGCGCTTCAAGATGCCTGGCTCCCACAACAGACGGCTGTCGATTCGGTTTGAAATCCTGTTTTTCTGGTGTAGTTCGCGGCCAATGAAATTCAAATCGCCGGCTGGCGTCGCTATTTCTTTGTTCAAGTCGGAACTTCGGTGAATTTTGCCCCCAACCGCCGGACGGAAATTCCAAACGCTCACACAGTCACTCTTAAAGCCTCTTTTACACGATTTTTTTTATCATTTTTCGCCGGTACAGAAACGATACAGACCAGAATGTGTACGAAAAAATGACGAATGCTTAATTTTTCGCTACAGATTTCATCCAGTTTGACTACGGCGCTCCTTTCGGCACTTTACGGGTCTTTCACTGGTTTGCTATGCGTGTGGAGCGATATGTTCATTTTGTAGTTGCGTGAGAGCGTTCTGATGTGTTGAATTGTAATGTGAAGTGGTTATGTAGTGAGAAATAAATCATGTACTGTATTCTTATATTGTCGCATCCGTGCTCGGTCCTCATATAACCTCACTTAATTTGTTACCACAGATGCGATGTTCAAATGTTTGAACTTCAGCGCTATATGCTGCGCCCGGAGGAAGTATTTTTTCATGATTACGCACAAAGACAGAAATGAGAATGTAAAACGCTGGAATCATTCTCGTCCAGTATTGGCACCGAAACATACTGCGTAGAAACGAACGTCCTTTTTCCATCCACTTTCTGTACAGAAAAATGGTGAAAAAAGAATGCAAAAATGACCGTGTAGAACAGGCTTAACAAAGTATTTGAAGTGCTGCGGCCAGATGGCCGGCTCGTAGCGAAGTTCAAAGCATGGCACATGTATTGCAAATGTATTAATACTACAATCACGGTACGTTCTTCGTCCACAATACATAAAATGATATAATATAATATGATTTTTGTTCTTACAGGTACTATTGAATGCAAGTAGACTAAGCTCCGGTTTACAAAACCTTGGATATAAGTTGGCTACTGGAGGGACAGATGTGCATTTGGTGCTTGTGGATTTGCGTCCTGCTGGAATCACTGGTGCACGAGCCGAATTTATTCTTGAGAGCATATCAATTGCTTGTAATAAGAACACAGGTACAAGTCATGTTTGTTTATTTGTTATTTGTGATTGCTTTGCCTATACTGTTCTTACCATGTCAGTTTTTAAACAATTATTTCTATTGAGCAGTGCCGGGGGATAAGAGTGCATTGAATCCTAGTGGTATCAGATTGGGTACCCCTGCATTAACTACACGAGGTTTGAAAGAGGATGATATGGATGAAGTAGTAGAATTCATTCATAAAGGCAAGTAGTTCTTTAGAAATGAAATAGATCTGTTTGTAAATCAACAATGGTGTATTTACTTCAGTTGTGTTACTTATAACTCAAACATCATATATTGAATATTCTTAATATATTTTCAGGTTTGGAACTGGCAAAAGAAATAACTAAAGTATCTGGACCCAAATTGGTGGATTTCAAAAAAATTACTACCACGAATGAAATCTTTATGAAAAAAGTTGAAGACTTGCGAAATGAGGTTGAAACTTTTGCAAAAAAATTCTTCTTACCTGGATACAAAGAGTACTGAAAATTTACTTCTTGAAACAAAATTTTGTAGTAGAGAAGTTACTGAAGTATTTGTAATGAGTGATATATTTTGTTAATCATGTAAACTTTTTTTGAAGATTTGTATAATGTCTATTTGTTAAAACAATATTGCAATAATTTTTCAACATTCATGTAATAAATACACTTTCGAATCTGCTTGCAACATAATCAATTTTGTGAGCTATCTTAAACCATTTTAGACGCTATTTCTTCTTACATATTGTCATTAGATCCACCATATACATTTACATTATTTACATATAATGTATTCTTGCAGACCCTCAAAATGAAAATTTAATTGAAGTACGTCGTGCCAAGTTTTGCTGATACTGGAATGCTTTCGTTAATAACCATTCATCTATCCTTCCCCTCCAGCCACAAATCCTAACCTCAAAAACTTATCTGCCCGTCTTTCTTTCGTTTCCCGTCCATCTCTGCCTCATTTTTTCCATCCTTACCCATCCATCCCATTATACGGAAGCGCGCCAGTGAGAAAAACCTGTGGGCCCTGTACATAAGTCATTTCAAACATAATGCAGTTTGGCAACAGTACCGGCTGTAGGACGGACGATACTGATTGTTGCGTCACGTACCGTTGAGTTCTGATGTGTTCGGCTCTGTGATGTGATGCCATTGCTCAGAGCGAAGGAGAGGAGATAGAATGAGGACACTTGAAGCGATGGTACGAAGTGGGAGAAGAGATAGTGTTTTTAGGTTAAAAATGTTGACCTTACCTATTGTCATTGTCCATCTATGAACTACCGCTATTTTGAGTTCTTCACACTCGTTATTCGAGTCTAAAATTATAACAATGCTGTCTATAATACCATCCCTTTCCCAGTTTTCATTTTCTAGTTTCGTTATGAGTGCAGTATCCCTTCCAGTCTTCAATAGTGACTTCAGTGATACCAAGTTAGTAAGCTCCAATAATTTTGTTGTCACATGTCTCCAGTTACATTTGTTTCCTTTACAAGTCTCTTGATTTTTCCCATGCCATTTCAATGGGATTCAGTTAACATATGTAGGGAGGAAGGCGAATCACAGAATGACCCCTACTGGTAACCAGCTCATCAAGTCTGTATGTCGTGTTCTGAGTTTTTAGTTGCAGAACTAGAGGGTATAATTCGGGCTTCATTTCTTGGTCCATCTAATCATGGTAGTCGCCAGATCCAGAGCCAGCTTTGAAAATTAGTTGTGCGTCATTAAGGAACCATTTTTTATAAAACAACGCAACGGCAGCGGCGCTTTCGAGTTCTGATTTCCAGGTCTGACCTGTTTTCTCTCTTGCCATGGCCGGTTGTCAGAGATCTGCAAGGGCTTTTGTATACAGCTAACTATTGCTATCTTAACATTACTCAACTTTACAAAATCTACAAACTTTACAAATCAACATTTCACCGTGCAATCTTGCATAGCACTCCATTTCACCGCACTGCCAAACACCGAGCGGTATTGTCTTTCTTACACAATCGTTTCCCTGCCAGTCACTTTCCCAAAGTCACTGCACTGCACGTACTAGTAATAATAATATTAATAATACTTAATTACATAGATGACAGTTACTTACACTGAAGTTTATTAAATATATTTATAACACATCAACATTCAGGAAACTTATTTATTTTCAAATTTGCTCAGGCTTTGAGGACAGGGATCGAAGATTGTCACAGGCAAACCGTTCCAATCCAATAGTTCGATTCGCGAATGAATATTTCCCAACGTCCATTTTCTGGACTTGCTCTTTGAACTGATTATTTCTGCCCAGATGTGTAATTTGTCTAAGTCTCTCTTCAAAATAACCTCATCCTTCACCGAGTTGATAATCCTATAGTCCTATTACGCAGTCATCTGCAAAGAGTCGTACATTTGAAACAAAATTAGTCGGCAATTCATTCACGAAGGCCAGAAACTTGAGTGGTCCGATTACACTTCCTTTTGTAATTCCTGACGTGACGTTTCTCGAGGTTGATAAGTAGATTTCGATTCGGACCTCCTGTTCCCTGTACCGAAGTAGATCAATGCTACCACTTTAGTGTCTATACACGAATCTATTAAATTCTTTATAAGACGATCGTGTGGAACAACATCAAAAGCTTTGGAAAAATCTATTACTCTCGCGTCGATTCTTTTCCCTTTATCAACTACGTCGGCTAGGTCTTGTAGAAGTGAGACTAGCTGACTTTCGCATGAGAAACCATTTCTGAAATCGTGCTGACTCTGATAAAGCCACTCCTTGCCATCCCATTCTTTCCTGATATCGCTTGAAATTAGATGTTCCACAAGTTTGCATACGACTGATGTAAGGCTTACCGACCTATAGTTACCAAGTATTGTCTTGTCGCCACTTTTCAAAATAGGTACTATGAGAGCCAGCTTCCAATCTTCCGGTACGCAAGCGTTGTTTATTGATACATTAAATAACCTAATTAAATAGGTTAGAATATCCTCTCCGTCTAATTTAATGATGTCCGTGGAAATACCACCAAGACCTCGTGATTTTCCTCTCTTCATTAATTTTATTCTTTTCCGCAAAGTATTTACGTCAATATGAAAATTACTTCTATCTACCAGCGTTGGTATCTGAACTCTGTTAGATTTCTGCTTGAAAACAGAGTTGAAATATGCGTTAAAAGTCTGCGCTTTTCCCTGCCGTCCGTTATTGGCGAATTATTAACACGAACTGGAATCACGTCTTTACTTTCCTTCTACGAACGTATTTAAAAAATGCCGACCAATTAATACTGCCCTCCGCATCAAGAATATGTTTCAAATGACGTTCCTCTGCCATTTTCTTTTCCTTCCTTAATGCTTATGAATAATTTCGAATTACGGTCATATGATTTTTACTACGGTATCTGTTGTTAAATGCTTCTTTGGTTTTTCTTTTCAATCGCCTAATCTTTGCATTATAACATTCCGGATCGCAGTTACATTTTATTATCTCTGAGGTGTTCATATATCTTATTTTATCCAACTACACTTTCTTTCAGTAAATTATGCCATCTATTTTGAAATAAATATCTTATACTTGGTTGTGATAGACATGCTATATTATATTCCCTACCTTCACTCTCTTTCATTTTTGTCTTCCTTTTGTTCTGTTCTCCGTTTCTTTTTGTTTTATGGATGGAAACATAATTTTGGCCTTCACTATGTAATGGTTGGATCTACATTCTGGGCCTCTGTGTGCCCTGACGTCTATTACTTTACCCGTTAAATACTGTCTAGTGATTACGTAATCGATCACTGATCTCCTTCTTGCCTTATCTTCCCAAGTGAATATATGTTTATCTTTATGCTGGAAGTGGCAGTTTCTAATAATAAGTTCATGTTTTTTACATAGTTGAATTAATCTTCTTCCATTTGAATTTTCCACCTCTTCTCCATGTTACTCCAATGACTTTTGAGATCTGAGATTTTCCCACCCTAGCATTCAAATCTCCCAATAAGATAAGTTCTCTATCTCACATTCACTGATTACTCCGTCTATTTTCGAGTAACATTCCTCTAAAATACTAGTATCTTCATTTTCATTCGGCGCATACAGTCCAAGAATCATCATTTTGTATCTAAAACTTTCCAAATTTACTTTAATCAGCCTCTCGTCTATGGCTTCCCAACTTATAATGCGCTTTCTGAATTTATTTTTTATGACTATGGAAATCCCTTTCCCACCTCTGATCTTTTGGTACTCCGCTCCAAATATGAACATAGGATCCAATCTCTTCTATCCCCGAGCCCTTTTTCTTTGTCTCACTTAAACTTGCAATATCCATATTTAAATCTTGAAGTTCCTTAATTACCTCCTTATCTTATTTCCCAAACCTTGAGTATTCCTTGTTCCAATATTCATTCACTCCTTTGTCTAGTTAGTCTCCGGTTAGCGTCCGTGTTCTCATGATTAAGCCTTTTAGCATTCTTAGCTTTTACATGGACGGCGAGGATCTGGCCCATCGTCCCAACTCCCTACTAGGAGGATCAGGATTTTTTTTAGGGTTTACTCCCCTAGGAGGATGGCTTCACCGAGCTTTTGAGCTCCTCCTGCCTAGATCTATTTTGGAAACCTCTTGTTCCGTTGGCCAGATCATACTCGTACCCTTCATCCCTTGGTAGAAATGTAGGCTAGTATTTCTGTCTAACTCTTCGTCATTTCGAGATCCTCTTCAACGCACTGTACCGAATGTTCTCTTCTTGCGCCCCCGTCCTCTTCTGGAGTACTTCGTCGGACCCCTCCCCTTTGACCAGTCTGGCAAGGGAGGCCCTACCAGTAGCTACGCTACCGCCGGCATAGTACCTCCGGATAGTGATAGTAAATCCGTACCTCGGGATCACGGGGGTACTTAAGCTCAACCACCAATGCCAAGGTCGGTCGCCTAGGGGGTCGGTCTTTTTAAGTCGCTTTTTTAAAATTAAATATTGATTACAGTTTCACAGAATTTACAAATTATGCAACTAATATTTGAAATTATTCTAAAATACTATCAGAGTTTACATATGTACAAAGAAATCGACGTATGAAAGAGAATGCGAGCAATATGTACAATTTTAAAACAATTACAGAAACAGTTATCTCAAAATCGGCTCAATTTTTTTTCTTTAACCTTTTGGTGGTGATAGTGCACTCTATTAGATAACATAAACGCCATATTACTCTGTTTTTTCGCGTTTAAAAAATTACAAATATGTAATTTTTTACTTGTCTCACGTCGTTAATATTTGTATTAGCGGCAATTTGTTCACATCACTATTTTTACGAGTTCCTGTGCTTGAAATGATATAATTAATATTATTTAAAGTCATATAAAGTTTCTAGAAAACACAACCGTTTTCTGTGAAAGTCCGTCCAAACTGTCTTCTTCTCAAAACTCCACATTTTCAGAAACACTCAAAGGCTATTTTTTTTCAAAAACTGCTCTACAATTACCCTTCAAAATTTTCGAACGGTTAGTGCTATGTAATGTGACGTGAAGTTCCTTTCGGGGTATTTTTTTCTCAAAATACACAAATGTAATTTTTTCGAAAGATCTCTTACACAGTAAACATGTACATTTCTAGCAATTTTTTAAACACTATAGTATTACTTAAAATGTCTTTTAATTAAGTTTTTTGAAAACGCAAAACCTTTCTGTGAAAATTAGCTCCAAATTTCGAATTTACAGTTGCGCTTAAGCACCATTTTCTTGAAAAAAACGGCTGCAAATGTTTCAAACAAAATTGCCATTTAGGCCAGTTTTCACTGTTCTGAAATATTCTTATAATATTTCCGTTCTAGTGTTAGAAAACCGAAAAATTAAGAAAATTTCGAAAAAATGGTCTTTGGGTGGCGATAGATGGTAGCTAGCAAGAACATATGGCAAGTCCAAATATCTAGACGAGATGAAAGGAAATAGATAGCATATACGGAAAAGTCTGTGCCATTCTGTAGCACCACTAGATTTTTTAAATGTCCGTCCC